AGAGGCTGAAAAGGTGAAGAAGAACAAGTTATTTTTAATATAACCAAATGAAAGTCATAGATAGCTAAGTTAATCTAAGATGCCTTTGGTACAAATCAAACAACAAAGTTAATCAGACACATTTGATGGGATATATGATTGAACACTGGCTGCATAAAAGGCACAAACAGAAAACAATATGCTCAATTACTGAGGTTAATAACTCAGCACCAAAGTTGCAGCCTTCTCTTCTCACCTTGTTAATAACCTACTTCAAATATTAATGTTGTGTTTTCTTTTTTTTCTAGTATCTTTTGAAATAAGACATATGACTTCATGTGTTAGAAGATCAGGATGATGGTCCAACCCATATCTGTTACTATGTCTTTCCAAAGTCCAAGAATACCTGGAGTACTGTAACTTTTAGTACAACTTAAAATAAATTGAATTCCTTGAAAAGAAGGATGTGGTATAGAGAAGAGAATACTTTGAATCCTTGAGGTTAATGCCAGTTCTGTTCTTTATCAGCTTTATGATGCTGAACACATTTTTTCAATCTTTTTGAACCTCAAGACATTTTAAGTGATGATGCTGAACTGCCAGCAAGAGAAATGGGGAAGGGCCAGTCAGTGAGGTAGCAGGAAATCAGGAGATTGTATCACACAGATGCTGAAAGAAGAAAGAATTTTTGAAGGAGGGATTGGCCAACCATGTTGAAAAGATTATTATGGTCTAGATATGAAGTGTCAACCATGTATTGAGGCCTGGTCCCCAGCTGGTAGTGCTATTTTCGGAAGTGGTATAAGATTTAGGAAGTGGGACCCACTAATAGGAAGGAGGTCACTGTCATACCTGGAACTTGCCCTTTCTGCTTCCTGTCTCTCTTTGCTTCTTTTGCTGTCTACCAGGAAATGAACTTATTTATTCTGCCATGCTTTGGTCACCTTGAAATGCCTTACCTCAGGTCCAAAGCAAAAGAGCTGGGCAATCATGGCCTGAGACCTCCGAAACCATGAGCCAAAACCAAATTTTTTTCTTCCTTTAAGTTGTTTATAATCAGATATTTTGTCACAGAGACAAGAAACTAAGATACACAAAGACCTAAAGTTACCATTGTGTTGGCCACCAATGGAACAATCCATCAACATACACATAAAGACTTTAAATTATTCTTGGTCCATCAAGATGTATCTTTAAAAAAATAAAAGAAAGAAGATAGTATCTCTGATTACTGTATTGTTTTAAAGAACTTCTTTCTGAGGTTTCATTTGCATATTAAAATAAAATTGGAGAGCCAATTTTTACAACTCTGCTTCTTTTTTTCTTTTGTTTTCTTCTCTCAATAATTTCTAGGTTCTTTGTGCCCATTTAAGGGAGAATTCTAGAGGGTAAGAGCTAATCGAATGTGGACTGCATAATTTCAGGCAGATTCAGAAACATTTCCTTCTCATTGTAAGCACATCTGATAAGAATATTTTCCATGCTGATGTGCAATAGGTCTTTCAAATGCAATTGTTTATGCCTAAATTTAGGCAAACACAATTTCTGAATATTAAGACAAAGAAAAATATCATAGTAAGCCCCCCTATTACAAAGGTCTAAAAATACTGTATCCTTTCTCCCAACTGCACTCACAAAGGAAAAGAATTTGAACTTAGGTTGACCACAGCTCTATGAAACCAGAGACAAGGTTCTCCTTGGATGTAAATAGACTTTTCAGGGGGCATTCTAACTTGCTTAAAGAGTTAGGAATGCCTTTCATCAATGACTAATAATTAACAATAGCACTAACCATTACCAAAAGACCATTATCATGTAAAAGCAGAAATATGAGGGACTTAAGACACAGAAATGAAGATGACCTCTTAATTTGATAAATTATATCTGGGAGGTGAGGAATGTACACAAGTCGAATGGCTCACATTTGAGCATGTATCTGGAGCCCCCTACACACACCTGAAAGTAAACTTCACCTGCGATCTCCCCAGCAATGCTTCCAAGTCAGAACAACCAAGTTCATACGCATTACTTCTACTTCCTGATCTGGCTCTCTTCTCCACTATCCAAAAACAAATACAAGAATGTCAAGATCACCACCATCTTTCACATGGTCCCACCTGAAGGTCACTTCTCTCTTACTATTTTCAGTCTTCAGCGACATCCAACACCATTCCTACCATCTCACCTCCTTCTTCTCTGTGACCTCATTTGTGTGGTTTTCTACACACAGAGATTACCACACACTGATTGTCTTCCTTCCGACTTCTTGCTTGTTTTTCTCAATAGTGATTTGCATTTTAAGTTTTATACAGATTGAATGGCTCCTACTTTTCACACCCATTAAGTTCACAATTTTGGAAATTTATTTGACATCTTACACTTAGTGAAGGACTTGCCTCTCCTGTCTCGGCCCAATTTTTTATGTATCTAAAGATGAAATATGAAGGATTGACTCCCATCTTATTCCCTAGGGTCAAGCAAGACACCAAGAACACAAACAGGCCTGGTCACATGCCTGTCCACAGGCAGGTTATACCAACCTAGGCCTGGCTGAAAGTCCCAGTCACTCACTCCAGGTGAGACATTCCATTTTGCACTTAACTGAAAGTATCTGGTGCTCCCCCCGCCCCCAGTAATTATAGCCTGATTTATTCCTTTGTTTCCTGTTAAGACCCATATAACCCGGTCCCAAAATCCAAACCCACGGGAAGGTCTGTTCCCCTCACAGGCAATAAACAGTCCTAGCTTGTTGACAATCAAGTCTGGTCTATTCCTTTTCCATTCTCCTCCATGTTCCTAACACTTAGCACATACAAAACTGGAACTTTTGGGTTCCCCCCCCCCTCTAAAGACAGTTCTCAGTCTTTATCATTTCAATAAAAGGTACCAACAAACTCAAGTACTTAGTGGCTCACACTGTCAAATCCAGCCTATGCAGGAATGTCCATGAGACTCTTGTCTTCAATCGCCAAAAGGTCAGAGATGGAGGTGTGGCACAAGTGGTCAAGAGCCAGCCTTGAATGAAAAAGTTCAGGGCCAGCACTCTACTCCTGAGTTCAAGCCCTAGTACACACCACACACACACACACAAACACACCACATTCTGGATAACCTCAGTATCCTCTTTTGTACTTTCAATTCAACAAAGATCTGCCAGTTGTACCATCAAAACACATGCCCAATAGATCTACTGCCCCAAGACATGGACCACTGCAGCACTCTAATTCTACTCTCTGTTTTCTATCTGCTGCTTGCAGCCCATTCCATCCAGCCACACAACAGCATTGTCACACACTACAGATTATGCTCCTTCCACACTGAAGACCCCATGATGCCTCTATAGAATTTGGAGTAAGGCTCCTGCTTGCCTACCTTGCCCTGCCATTCTTTCTGTCCTCAAAGCATTTCAAAGCTTTCCTGTCTCCAGGCTTTTGTGTTCCTCACGCTGCCAGGCTGAGCATGTGTTCAGCTCAGTCTTGAAACCTTACAATTAGTTCAGAAATCACCAACCAAGCCAGGCATAGTAGCACACACCTGTAAATGCCATCTTTGCAGGAGGCAGAAAAATTCTGCATTTGAGGCCAGCTTAGGCAAAGTTAGGAACACAACAAACAAACAAAAAAAAGCAAAACAAATAAATAAGCAAAAGGATTGGGTGGGTGGCTCAAGAGGTAGAATACTTGCCTAACCTCCATGAGGCCCTGAGTTCAATCCCTGCTACTGCATGCTCATCACCTGTGACTAGTCAGTGCATGCAACAATATCCCCACTAAGTGGAAGCTCTGTGGAAAGCAGGAACCTTGTCCACATTGGCTAGGGGTAGGGGGGTCCTGGCTGGTTAGGTGAGGGGACAGATGCAGGCTCATGGCTCTGGGGTGGATCACAGGTTTCCTAGCTCCAGTCTGCTGCACTTAGCAGCAGCTCCAGCTGCCTCTCCTAAACAATGGATGAGTCAGCTTGGGAGGCCATGGTTAGTGTGCAAGCCTAGGGAACTTCCGTGGGAAGTGTGCAGCACTGCACAAAAGCGCCAGCCAGCATCGCTCCCTGGGGTGCAGCCAGCTTGGTAAGTTTCTGCTAGGCCAGAGGGGTGGAGGTGCTTATTTAAAAACAAGTTAAAATTGCAGAATGTTCAAAGCAGGCCTCGGGCCAAGGGTAGAAAGGGAGGGACACAAACTGACTTTAGTGGGGAGTGATCTAAAACAGTGCAAGGAGAAGGGGGCAATTCCTGGATGGCATGCTCTTGGCATCCTTATGAATACAGATTCCAAATACTTGACTCTACTCAAGAGGGGCTGGATAGAAGCTTCTGTTGCCATAGTAACCTCTGTGCTCCTGGGGTCTAGGCACAAGGCTTCAAATAAACAACTAGTGTAGTGAAGGAAAATTTCACAGAGCAGAGGCTGGTTGGGGAGGTGTGTGTGGCGGGGGGAGCGGGAAGAGGGGAATGGCAAGAAGCAATCCAGCAAGTGCCACAAGCCACATTCTAAGCACAAAACTCAGGAGTTGGGAGTGGAATCCTCCTACTGCACTGGGGAAGGCAGAGGCAGCTTCCTGCTGGGCCACATCTGAAACAAGGGGCCCCATTGACAGGCACATCTGTTACTACTAAACACTTAGCAATCAATATTTTCCTACAGAATTATTTCCCTTCTTTGGCTTTAAGGGGTTACTGTCTGCCAGGCTGCCAAACCCCAACCTTTTCTGCATCAGCAGCCGCCACATAAAGTGACTATTAGAACTTCAAACGAAGAATTTTAGTCCCGGAAATGGCCTCATGCTAGGTTTTTTTTTTTTTTCCTTCCTTCAATAGAGACACCAGGAAAATGTCAGAAGGCAAATAAAAAACCCACACCCTGAAAGACTTAAAAAATAACAGTCACATCCCTGGGAGGATGAGTAACTCCAGCCTGATCTGATTTAAAAAGGAAACAGCCGATTTAATCAGACAGCCTGGATAGATTGTGAAGGAAAGGAGGGGAGGCAGAGCCAGAGAAGGTAACAGAAGCATGAGGAGACCTTACCTTAACACCTGCATCTCCTCAGAAGAGTTCTGCAGCTCATCCTGGAGGCGATGCCAGCGCAAGCAAGCCCTCAGCTCTTGATGCTCATGGGCCTCATGGTGGGACAGCTGGTTGGGCCACAGACAAATAAACATAGTGTACAAAACCGAGTCATTGTGTTGATCAGGCCTACCCCATGGAATGGTCTATTTTGTTTCAGTGGGGACAACTGGGCCTGCTCCCCTGTGTAAGACAGTCCCCCTGCTTTCCCGTTCCCCTCTGTCAGAAAAGCAAAGGCCACAGGAACTTCTAAGCTATTCGGGAGAAATCCAATATGAGCATTCCAGCTCTCTCTAGTGCTGGTAGGTGGAGCCAAACCTGCCTGTTTGGGAGGGTTCCTCAGTCTTGGAACCTACTCCCTGGACATCCACCTGGCCTAGAGAGAAGGGGACACTCCCTAGGGGCCATTTCCACTTTGGTTCCATCCAGCTTTCTTCTCCTGCTTTGTATTTCTGCCCAGGGAGGAGAAGGCCCCTCTATTTACCTCCTATTTTTACCAACCCTCAATTTTGTTAAGGACTGTTTACAGTGGAGCCTGCTAATGTAACCCAGATGGTTCTGTTTGCATATAACGGGGGGGGGGGTGAGGGGGGAGAGGGAGTATACTGCCTGGACTTAATTTAGGGCCAGGGAAGGCCATCACATGGATGTGCTCTCAAGGCCACATGGCTGTGATCTCTGCAAGGGAGGGCTGCTGAATACCTACTGTGGAGAGAAGATGTGTAGGCTCTACAGGCATTTCTGAAAATCAAAAGCTCCTAAAGACTTATAGATATTTTCTGAATGTATGCTAGGTCCTGGAGACATTATGGACAGGACCTCTACCATGAAGAGTTGAGGGTGGGGAGAACAGGTAAAGGACATGAATATCAGGGTGAAAGTAGCGTTAAGGGAAGGGTCCTCTTTCCAACTAGCATGTGTCAGAGGCTTTCCTGTGGAAATGGTCTCATCAAGGAAGACAGATATCAGCTATGGTACAGGGACTGCAGGACATAAGAAATCATTTACAAGACTCTGGGGCCTTAGTGAATGGAGAGGGATGTGGTGATGCTGAGCGCTGACTATTAAGGCTGGGAGGTGCTGAGAGGCTGGCAGAGGTCTGATGATCAGCAGACTTTATGCGATGTCTGTTGTTACAGACCCAAATATCCCCTACCTCACACAAGCTGAAGAACTAATGTCCATGTGATTGAATTTGGGGACAAAAACTTTTAAGAAGATGGTTAAGGTTCAAGGAGGCATTAGGAGGGAGGCCATGGTCTTATAGGATTATGATTTATAAAAAGAAGAGAGCTAGGTGCTGGAGGCTCATGTCTGTAATTCTAGCTACTCAGGAGGCCGAGGTCTGAGGATCATAGTTCAAAGCCAGCCTGAACAGGAACGTCTGTGAGACTCTTATCTCCAATTAAAAAGCTGATGTAGAGCAGTGTCTCAAGTGGTAGAATACTAGCTTTGAGCACAAAAGCTCACAAAAGCACCCAGGCCCTGAGTTCAAACCCCAGGACTAGTGCCAGAAACCCTGAAACAGAAACAGAAACCTTGCTGACTGTCTATTGCTTCCTCTCCTCAAGTGTGGAGGCCATGGTAGCATAAAGCAAGAAGGAGACCACTGACATGTTAGGAAGACAGGCCACAGCAATTGCCAATCCTGTTGCAATTTGATATTGGACTTCCAGCTAGCCTCTAGAACTGTGAGAATATATGTCTGTTATTGAAGCCACCCATCTGGTATTTGATTAAGGAAGCCCATGTAGATCAATGGACCTATGAAGGAGTGTGGACTTTATCCAGGTCAACAGAAGTTACATAGTTCAACCTTCTAACTCAACACCTCCCTGTGGAATGCTCCTGGGAATGGAATACAGCTTCCAGTTCCTTTCAGTGATTTCATACTCCCCTTCTTTCCAGGCCTTCTGATGCTTAGGGCTGCTGTGCCCAGTCCACAGGGCAGTAAAGTGACCAGTCATTGGTACCAGTGCATTGTCACACCCTCTTCCTTTGTGGAGCCATTGCAGACCAGGTGGCAGTACTATCTAGGCCCACACAAAGTGTTCCTCCTTTCCTGTTCAGAAGGTATGATATGGGCATTCATCAGCTACTTGCCCAGCTAAGTCTCTCCCTTAAAGGATGGGATCAGAGTAATGGATATGCTGGATTCTAGAAGGGCCACTTTGCCTGAGGGATGTTCATGTTCTCATTTGCAGAGTGATATACTGAGCTGAAGCCCAACTGTGTTAAGGAGAAAGAAGGCTGGAGAGGACTCAGTTCTTGCTTTCCCTAGAAGCCCTTCAGAGGTAACTTCCTCCCCAAAGGCTTTCTGCATGCACTCAGACATGGCCTTTTCCACCTCTGAACTCACACATTACTGGTGCTTTCTTCCCTTTCCTAATACCTTTTCTTCTTTCTATTGAGGGCTTTTCTTATCCTCAGCTTTTTATCCCTAAAGATTGAGCACAGAATTAGATACAGAAAACAAACAGTGCCATGGGATTTCAGCCCAGGGAGACTGTATCAGTATGTACAGTCAGACTCAGGGCAGCTGCAGCATCTAAGCATTTAGACTGAGCAGTAACTGTCTAGAAGTGCATGCAAGGCAGGGGGTGAAGGAGGGATTCTCTTCCGAGGATGTAGGAGACAAAGACCAAGATCATCAGTTGTCTGAAATGAGCTGACAGATTCACAGGACAGCACCAATATGATTGTCTCAGAACAGAAGTGCAGTCCCAGTGCTCATAGGAGTTGCAGTAGCAACATTTATATCAAAACCTTGCTGACTGTATAGATGCAAGGTGGTGGGAAATACAAAGAGGAGAAGAACAGGTGTTTCTTGCATACTCTCCACATGTCTGGAATGTGTTAAGCTCATTCACACATTGCTCCATTCACCTTGTAATATTGTCATCATCTCCTCTTCCCCCTCCTCCCCCCACTTCCTCCTTCTCCTTCTGCTCTTCTTCTTTCTCCTCCCCCTCCTCCCCCTCTCCCTCCTCCTTCTCCTCTTCCTCCTCCTCCTCCTCTTCCTCCTCCTCCTCCTTTTTCTTCTCTTTCTCTTTCTCCTTCTTCTTCTCCTTCTCCTTCTTCTTCTTCTTTCTTCTTCTTCTTCATCAGTCTTCATCAAGGAGTGAGCACAGTCCCTGAACTTTTTTTGCTCAAGGCTTACACTCTACCACCTGGGCTATAGCCACACTTCCAGCTTTTGGTGTTTAATGGGAGATAAGAATGTCACAGCTGCTGGCTGGGCTGGCTTTGAACCTCAATCCTTAGACCTTAGCCTCCTGAGTAAGAAGGATTACAGGTATGAACCACTTGTGCTGCACCTGAGTCTTTTACATCCAACCTACAATAGGGAAACTAAGGCTTCAGGAGGCTGCATATTCTACCTGAACTCAGAAAACTTGTGAGCAGCAGAGCTGGGATAATATGGTCCAACTCAGAACCCAGCCTCTTTTCCTATGTCTACCAGGTAGCCTCTCTGGGCAGAGGACATAGCTGTGCACTCAGCTAGTTCCAAAGGCATGATGTGAAGAGGACAGAAAGGTGAGTAAAACACATTCCTGCTTTGAAAAGGGGCATAGTCAAAGTTACGAGGATAAGAAAAGCATATGGTAGAAGAAAAAAATAACAAAAAAAAGAGGCAAGCAGAACATACTATGGGAGTTCAAGCTTTAAAGGACAGAACAGCGCATGGGGTAGTCTGGGTTATTCAGAGGAGCCTCAAGCTAGCAAGCAGAATATAATAAGTATTGCAACAGGAAGATCCATCTTAACAAGATAGGTACATATAAACTTGGGAACCTCAGAAAATGTCAAGTAGCCCAGTGTGGGAAGAACAGAGGTGATACAGAAATGAAATGACCTAAATATTAGGAATTAAGAAAGCAGAAAAGAGTGGTTATATCCTAGGCCAATTCTTTAAGGTAGAGGTGGGAACATAGATGTGTGCTGAACAGGCCTGGCTTCAGGGTATCTTTGCATATTTTGTATACTTTTTTAGTGCTAGAGATTGAACCTATGGCTTTTTTTTTGGTCAATTGTGGGACTTGAACTCTGGGCCTGAGCGCTGTCTCTCAGCTCTTCAGCTCAAGGCTAGTGCTCTACCACTTGAGCTACAGCGCCACTTCTGGTTTTCTGGTGGTTTATTGGAGATAAAGAGTTTCATGGACTTGAAGGATAAAAGGAGGAGGCTGCAATGCTTGGTAAGAAATGTACGCATTATCCTGCCCATGTAATTGTAACCCCTTTGTACAGTATGTTCACAAATAAAATAAAATAAATTTTAAAAAAAAAGAGTTTCATGGACTTTCCTGCTGGGCTGGCTTTGAGCTGCAATCCTCAGATCTCAGCCTCCTGAGTAGCTAGGATTACAGGCGTGAGACCTATGGCTTTCTATATGCTAGACACATGGTCTAGTACTGAGCTACATTCATAATCACTGATCTGTATGTCTTTCTGTTGTTCTTGGTGGTGGTCATGGGGCTTGAACTCTGGACCTGGGTACTGACGCTGAGCTCTTCAGCTCAAGGCAAGTGCTCTACCTCTTTGAGTCATAGTTCTATTTCTGGTTTTTTGGTGGTTACTTGGAGGTAAGAGTCTCACAGACTTTCTTGCCTGGGCTGACTTTGAACTGTGATCATCAGACCTTAGCCTCCTGAGTAGCTATGATTACAGGCATGAGCCACTGGCAACCAGCTTGTATAGTATTTTTTAAATCAGCAAACTTTTACTAGGTTGGTGGAATCCTAAAAACAAAACAAAGCAAAACAAAACCCCAGAGGTCCAAGCTATACTGAGCTTTCCCTTAACTATACCAATTGGTTAAAGCTCAGTACCTATTGTCAGTTTTCCAAAGCGCATAGCATCCCCTAATCTATAACACAAACGACTTTATTCTTCAATCATTATTTGCCAGCAAACATATGAGATTATGACTAGAGATTTACATTTTAGTCTGATTATTTAAAACACTCATACTTAATATCACTACAACCACATGCTTGGGTATGATCTTTTGTTCATCTCTGCTCCAATGTGTCCCCATTGGGGGTTTTTCTAAGCCCCTTCCAAAAGAACACACCCTGGGGATGGGAGAGAAAAACTGGGAGAGAGCTATGGAAGGAATGACATTATCCAAAAAGAAATGTACTAATTACCTGACTTACAAAACAGTAACCCCTCTGTAGATCACCTTTAAAATAATAAAAACTATTCAGTAAAAAAAAAGAACATCTCCCTTCTGTGGGATTCATCTCTCCTCACAGTATGGCACCCACTTGTTTATCCTCTTTCCGATCTCAAGATTGTGAACCTGCAACAGACAGGGCTTCCCTCTACTCACTCAGTATGGATCTGTAGAATGAATAAATGATTTTAAGTAGAGCCTGATTCTGGGTAGGGAAGTACTTAAAGAGTCACTTTAAACCTACCTGCTGTGCTTCAGCCCAGATTACATCTTCTAAGTGAGTGGCAAATCCTTCACTCAGCCACTCCTCCGTCCAGTCTCTGGCCCCAATAGCGAGGCCAAACCAGGCATGAGCAATTTCATGGCAGAGTCGGGTCCCACAGAGATGGCTCATGCCTGTCAAGGTGCTCTGGGAGAGGAAGATGATGTGTGGGCTGTGGATAATGGGAGAGAAAACACATGGAGCCCTGTTAGAGCTTGTCCTGAAGGCTATCCGTGGCAGCTTTTTTAGCCTACAGAATCTGTTATTATCCTGTGCATGCTAGATCATGACTGATAGACTTGCTCCTGAGATGCTTTTAGACCTAAATAAAGTGGCAGTTTACGTTTCTGGCAGCAGTTCAACTTGCTGTTTCTGCCAACAGTTGTCTCCGTCATCAAGTGGCTATTACCTGTAATAAGTAACTTGCACCACAGTTTTATACTGAAAAAATTACAAGGCAATGGAAGCATTTACGCTGAAATCTGGACTGTAAAAGAAGAGCAGGTGTGAGAATGTGAAGCCCATGCTGTCAGGAGAGTGATCAAAGAAGCCTGTTCAGCCAAAAATCCCAGCAGCTTACAGACGAATTGAGAAGTCATGCAGAAGGGCAGGAAAAGCCAAGAAGAATGGAACCAAAAATTTCCTATTTCACACTGTGGCTGGCTATGGAGTTCATAATCTAACAAGTGCTATGGATAGGGAAGGTTTCCAAGGTACCCACAGAAGGGCTGCATCTCTGAAAAACAAAGGTTTTCAGTGGACTCTTTGGGTACTTACAGATTCACATGACATAACAAAATTATGAGAGAGAGAGAGAGAGAGAGTGTAGGTAGGAGTTAACCCACCCAGGTGTGCAAACAGCCCCAGGGCTGGCACCAGCTGGGGAGATTTATCTAATCTCATTTTCCATACCTAGTTTTAAAACTCCAAATACCATGATTAAAATTGCAGAGATGAAATGGGAGGAAGGAGGGAGGGGAGGTCCTGAAAAAAGAAGAGGCAAATAGAATACCTCCTATGTTTCCACTTTCTGCATTTATCCAGGACTTGTTATAGTCTTCCTAATGAAGATTTGATCTGGAAAGAAAAAAAAGATCTTCCCTCTATCAATTAAAGAAAACCAGTTGTGAAACCTTCCAAGCTAAGAAACTGTGCACACCAGTTCTTTCTTCAAAAGCCATTTGTTTGCCACCATGTCAGCTTTACACAAGCCAAGACTGCTTGCAGATTTTTTTTGTCCGCCCCCACAGCTACCATTAGAGCAAACCCCACCTTTGTGTCCCTTGCACAACATTGCCCATTCAGCTCAGAGAGCTCAACTGCAATTGCGGCAGTCAGGTTTGCCAAAATAGACAGTGTTCGTGTGAAATAATAACAGGGCAGGCTCACAAATGAAAAGGCCTAGGCCAGGCTCTCCAGAGTCCACCAGAAACTCCAGAAATTAAAATAGAGTTAAGGAACTGAGGACAAAGGGATGCAACTCCACAGGCACCAACAGATCACTAACTCAAAAAAAAAAAAGAAAGAGAAGAAAAGGAAAGAGGAGGAGAAAGAAAAATAAGGAAGAGAAGTGAAGGAAGAGGAGAACTGGGAAGGAGAGGAGGGAGGTGACTGGAAGGGAGGGAGGAAGGGGAGAAAAAGAAGGAAGGGAGGGAGGGAAGGGAGGAGGGAGGGAGGAAGGAAGGCAGGAAGGAGTAAGGAAGGAAGGAAGGAAGAAGCGCTCGAGGGAACCAAGTGGCACAGGAGACATCCTCTCCCTACTGAGAAAGTGGCCTGTTGAGAAGACAAACTGTGCAACCTGACATTTTTAAGTAAATGAGCACTGGCTCTGGCATGTACAGAGCTACAAGAAAAGCCACAGAAATGTACCGAGTAAATAACATTCCAGACGCACTGCTGGCAGCAGTTCACCCTTTTGGCTAAAACAAAACAGAAGTAACTTCAGGTCTTATAAACAGGCTTAAAGAGGAGGCTTCCTAGGGAAAGTCTACCAACCAGAGTAACAGCCATGCACATATTACCAAGACTGGAAGGTCTGACCCTTGCTGAGGCCACTTAGATTCCATAAGGAGATGACTAAAATCCCAGCAAGACTGTTGAAGAAGAAAAAATTTCCAGTACTGGGGTGACCCACGGCTACTTTGTCCCAAAGTGGAAGCCTAGCCAAGGCCCATTTATGCAAATATAAAAGTCTGTTGAGGGCTTGAAGGAATGCATAAAAGGAGCCAGCTGGGTTGGAGGGGGGAGGAGGGAGCCTGTTCACCTTCCTTCACTTCAATTTTTTTTTTTCCCCCTTGCACAGTCCTTCTTGTCTGGGCCAGATTTCCTTCCCCACCCTTCTTTACTCTGGAGACTCCTCCCTGGCCTGGAGGTCTCAGGAATGGTATGGAAGGAATATAGCGCCTCATTCCCACTTTCCCATCTTTAATCCCTTCTTCCAAGCCAAATGTACTTTTTACTTTTCTTAGCAGAAGCTTAAACATCCTCCAATCAGATGGGAAGGAAGGGCGTTTCAATTCAATATAAAGGATTCCATTATCAGTGGAAACCAAGGCCTCTCCCTAGAAAGCCATTTCCCAGCTGGGATCCTAGCCTCCCAGCTTCTCATCTAAGTTGGATTTTTACCTGTTGTGTCCCTCTGAAGGAAAGAATTTCTTAAAACTAAATCAGAAACAGGAGAAAGGTTTTGATAACCTTTCTCATGGGTGTTAACCAAATTCTGACATTAAAGGATCAACAGTAGACTTCTTTGAAGAACTTCCTTCTCTTAAAAAAGACTGTAAATGTTGGAACTTCTCAAGATAAGTAGCCTTTTTAAACTCTTCATCTTTTAAACTATTTTTCTTCAACTGTGAGTGAGGAAAAAATATGATAATGTTCTCAAATTCACTTTAAGGAGAGATATTAGATATTCCTTTACTAGCAGATGATATATGGCTATCCACTTTCACAAGAGAACGAACTTTTGAGAATTTTCTACTCCTACCCTAACCTTGACATATGAGGCTCACAGGAGCCTCCCCCCTCCCCTCCCACATTCCTGCATTCTCAGAATCTTATTCAAGTTCCCATCAGCCAGCTGGTGATCAGTCTTCACTCTGACAGGCCCATTGGAAGATGGTGTTTCTTTCTTATCCCCTGAAAAGGTCTGTCAAGTCCTCAACAAATGCCAAATCATTGATTCACCATCATTACAGAGGATGGAAGATAAGTACTTCAATAAGATCTCTATCCTACAAAAGAGATTTCTTTTCCTTTTTAAAGATCTTCTGAGTTTAGAGTGTGTGTGTGTGTGTGTGTGTGTGTGTGTGTGTGTGTGTGTGTGTGTGTGTGTGTG